ATATATATATACATATCTTATATATATCTAATATAATTTTTGAAAATTTTTTTATACATTTCCATTATCTCAAGATTACGTAAAATAGAGAAAATAATTTAGCACTCACCAGCACACGATACACAGCAGCGGAGTTAGAGTACGTTGATCTGTAAAATACAAATATATACAAATTATTTATATATAAAACAAATATATAATACAAATTATTTATATACAATACAAAATAATTAACATCTTAAAGAATATTTATTGTGTTCAATTAAATTTATTATTTGTTCTTAGACATTTAATAAAAAAGTTATCTGACTTCCAAAAAAAACATTTTTTAATATGAGAAATATGATAAATAAAAATTTAATTTTTATTAAATAATATAAATAATTTAAATTTTAAACAATGTTGAAATATTTTATGCACAGTTATATAAAAAATATCAATTATAATTATTTTATTAAACGTTCTAAATATTTCAAAATAAAAAATCTCTCGAAAATATATTTTACATGGATTATATAATAATATACAACGGATTATTACCGCGGAGATAAACGAGCAATTAATCTCATAAATAATAGACAATAAATAAAACAAATTTTACTCACCTCGTGGTTGTTCCGCTGTCGCTCGATACTTCTCCGGGCCTGCTCTTCCTCTCTTGTTGATCCTTTACTGCTTCTTTATGGCACTTCTTCGCGAAAACACTTAATTACGATCGCGCGCGTACTAATTAGGTGAATACAATGATCGCACGGCCCTTTACACGGCACTCCTGACGTTATAACTACATGCGATGCACACTTTATTATATTTATTGTGATTAAAGAATACAGCGAGAATCATAGAATTATTCTGACAAAATTACGATTTGCTTGATGATCGATAATTGTGTACCTAAATTCAAGCGGCAATACTATTTTAATAAGTAATGTACGCTCTTGTATTATGACGATTGCTATCGATTTTGATTAAAGAAATCTCGCGGAATTCACGTGTGGCAAATTATAATATAACAATGTATATTAATGCTAAATTTCTGATACGTTTCGAGAATTTTTAGGAGAGTGTATACGAAACGGCTCGCGTCGCTGCCTACTCGTTCGAGTCTCGTCGCAAGAATGACAACAAGGTCGCTGCACATAAACAACAGGGCGCTAATATTAATATGATATCAATTGCGCAATATGTATTCCTCGAAACACAATCGCGAAGAATACGGAGAAACCCAATTATCTCTTACGATTCGATCATTCAGTATATCCATCGATGCAGTTAATTAATTTCCGCGATTAATGATTTGTATCGAGATAATGGCAGTTTATTGAAACAAGTATTTCGTGTAAGGCAAGCTAATTTTACAAGACAACTAAGAATAACATATAATATATAAATGCTAAATTTCTGATATACGTTTCGAGAATTTTTAAGAGACTATATACGAAACGGTTCACGTCGCTGCCTATTCATTCGAATCTCGCCGCACAAATAATAACAAGGTGATCGCGATATAAATGTATCAACATATAACATACCTTGCTCAATGTGCGAACATCAATCGTTCTGTCTCTCTCTTCTTCCTTTCTCAATACCTTCGTTATAGTAAGACGCGTCTATTCTTTTCTTTTCAATGCCTTCGTTATAGTAAGGGTTTTTACCTTACATTGTAATATTCAGATATATTTATATCTAATGCTTCAAATAGATATACGTGATGAATTCAAATGGCTATATCTCGCATTACGTGCTTTAAAGTTTTCGCCGATTAAAATATAATTTGTTTATCGAAAACACGCGATGATACACGAATCGTAAGGTCGATTAAGTAACGAAAAATCGAGAAAGATATATACATAAACTGCTTATTAATAATTAATTTAAGGATAGTAGAATATTTCGCATTTATCTTGTAATACATTAAATATCTTGTAATATGTTCCGTAACGGGGAGAGGGAAAATCAACAATCGTGTTATGTTCGACATTTTTTTCTTGTGACGTATATATAGTGCGTTCATATGCAGCGATCTTGTCATTAGTGATCTTGTCGATGTGCCTCGAGCGAAAAGACCAGCTGTGCAATCCGCTTCGCACTTTGTCGTATTATCTTTCGAAACGCGATTGCGAGAGATAATGAGATACATCCAACGCGATTCTAATTACGTATTATAATTACCAATTATTAGTCTGAAATAGATTAACTCTCGCAATAAACAGACACGTAAGGATATTCCGGTTATTTATCGAAGTAGATATTTCGCGCTATATATACAGGATATTTCAAAAGTGGAGATCAATCGCTCGGAAGTAATTGGGGACATGTTGGGGACCCAAAAACAAGAAAAAAAGTTGGTATGAACATAGGTCCGGAAACGCGTTGTTTTCAAATTATCGCCATTTTTATGTTGAAATTTTAAATTTAAAAAAAATGGTTATAACTCGAGAACAACGCATTTCCGGACCTATGCTCACAGCAACTTTTTTTTTTGTTTTTGAATCCCCTGTCATTTCCCGAGCAAATGATCTGCACTTTTGAAACACGGTAAATATATTTATTTAAATAAAGATTAAAACAATAAATAATTGACTAGATTATATAAATTAATATTTACTTACTTAATTAATGTAATTATTTATAATAAATCGAGTACGATTAATTTAGGAGGTGCCGTACAAAGCGTCGTGCGATCGTATTTTATTGATTAGCATGCATGTGATCATAATTAATCGTGTTTTCGCGGGTGTAAGTGCCAAAGAGCAACAAAGCATGAAAAAGAGAAGAAGAAGAGAAGGCCCGGGAAGGCATCAGGCAATGGCGGAGCAACAGTGTGGTAAACAATTTATAAATTATTTAATTCATTATTTTACTAACTTATTATTTTTTATAAATCTGTGTAAAGGATAAGCAATAAATTCAATTAAGGAGAACGTAATAATTATTTTTTAAAATATTGTTTGAAAGAATCCCCTGTCATTTCCCGAGCAAATGATCTGCACTTTTGAAACACGGTAAATATATTTATTTAAATAAAGATTAAAACAATAAATAATTGACTAGATTATATAAATTAATATTTACTTACTTAATTAATGTAATTATTTATAATAAATCGAGTACGATTAATTTAGGAGGTGCCGTACAAAGCGTCGTGCGATCGTATTTTATTGATTAGCATGCATGTGATCATAATTAATCGTGTTTTCGCGGGTGTAAGTGCCAAAGAGCAACAAAGCATGAAAAAGAGAAGAAGAAGAGAAGGCCCGGGAAGGCATCAGGCAATGGCGGAGCAACAGTGTGGTAAACAATTTATAAATTATTTAATTCATTATTTTACTAACTTATTATTTTTTATAAATCTGTGTAAAGGATAAGCAATAAATTCAATTAAGGAGAACGTAATAATTATTTTTTAAAATATTGTTTGAAATTTTTTTTTTGTATATATAATTTGAATATATTTGTATTTTACAGATCAACGTCGTGTGTATTACAACTCCGCTCTTGCGCATCGTGCTGGTGAGTAAATTATTGTTACGGATATGTGTGTGTGTGTATGTGTGTGTTATTGGTTATAACTAAGTATGACAAATATACATATAAAATAAAAACAATATAAAACTTTATTCATCGAAATTGTATTCCATCAATTTAATAGATAAGTAAAACTTATTATCTCAAAAAAAGCATCGATGCATTCATCAAAATTGTATATTCTTTTAAATAAGAATTCAGCAAGATAATTTGTAAAGTGTCGCGTGTAATCGCGTGTACCGTAACGAGGAATATTTGCTCTCATGTGCCTCCACAATTTTTCTATATTCTTTGTATGAACACCTGTTTCTGGGTCCACAAAATTATCTATATGGGTCACTGTTTGATGTATATAACTGTCTTCATTACGTAAAGCATTATATGCACACCATTTATTTCTATGAATAATTGAATCAGAAATAATATATTTCCGATGAATCGAAATGATCGGCAATGTATTTCGGCACTTCGACTTGGTACAGGCAAAATAAAAACTTTTGACATACTAACTATTCGATCGATAACGTATTTGATCGAAGAAACCAAAACAAAATAGTAAGCTCCGTTGCATGCTGGATATTTGTGTATAACACATATTATATATTTATTTTTCAAATGTACAAGGTGTCGGATAAACGATGGTCTATTTATGAAACTTTTTGCTAACAACTTTTTAATAAACGACTTAATACTTAATACTTAAATATACAATTAACATAAAATTCATGCTCGGAGAAGTTCAGATTATCGCATTTAACACTTGTTCTTATCGTACAATTTGATTGTTAATAACTTTTTAATGAACAGCGAGCGATGTTACTCAGAGTTATAATTTTAACAACATATGTCAAGAACAAGATTATTGAAGAAGTCTTCGCTAAACAGAAGTTCTACCTTTTTTTAATTTTTAATTGTCTATATCTATATTTATCTCAGGTTGGTGTTTTTATTATAGCGTTAACGTTTTTTATTTATATATTGTCATTTCTACAGTTCTACTTATTAGCAAATATTAAATTTTTGCTTTAAAGTGCTCTAAAGAGTTCAATGAAATTTAATATTTTTAATTGGAAAAATTATAAATAAGGAGTGCAGAGAGAAGTATAAAATACAAGCAATTTTATATCACTGTTCTGATTTTGATTCAATGTAAATGATAAAAGCTCGACGAGAGCATTTTGCGTTGAAATAATTTGGGCCGAATTTTTTGACCTTTCTTCCGGTTCAATTCATCTGGCGACATTCGTGACGTGGCAAGAGTCCTTCGTTTTTACGGCGCTCTCGAGTGCCCACTCCGGTTTTAATTGAGTTCGTTATATTCATTTCCGGAGAAGCGCTTGATGCATTTTATTCGCGTATCTCGTGTGTGTTCGCGACTGCTCTTCGCTACTACGTTTGAGTGTAACACTCTCGGTAACTCGCAGATTTATAGCGGGACCGAAAGCGGGATAAAATTCGCGGTAATGCCGCATGTGAGTTCATCGCGTGTGGCATTACCGAAAAAGTCCCGCTAGAATAATCGACTTGATTCTGGACTTATATAGAACAAAGTTTTATAATGTCGCTTTACTTGAAACAAAGTTAGGAACAATAATATGTACATGAACCAATTTTAAATGCATTTTATACTAAAATATATATAAAATAAATTAATACCAAATATAAATGTGCATTGAATTAATTTAATCAATTTAACAAATTCATTTTAGACGATATGTAATTCATGACAGAATTCAAGAATCTTTTTATATATAATTTTGTTCTGATACATGTGTATGTATCTTGATTTGTTAAAAATAATATTGTAGAAATATCTAATATTTTTTATTATTATAAATAAATTTAGACAAATAAAAAATTATTCTTGTCTTAGATTCTAGAAATAGATTGTTCAAAGTGGGTTTAAAATAATTTTGTACTTGTGTCTTTTTTTGTTCATTGATGTCACGTATGTCATCTCATTGACAGTGGCGTTCGCAACCTTTATTCCGAGTCTCTTAGTAAGTCATCAATCCTTTCTGATATGCGACATTTCGTGAGTATGTACTTATCATAATACCCATTCAAGTCACGAAATCAGCTTTCTCTCAAGAAGCCAAGAGTCGATGCTCCAAAAGTCCGGATTGTCATGTTCGTAGGTTTTGAACGTTTAATATGCTCCCCTCTAAGATCCTGCCTCCGTCATCTTCATGCATGATATATGTACGGATGAGCAGTGGCCCACCAACTAACGTAACTATTAGGGCTGGCAGTTCGAAAGCGCGCGCGCGAGTCGTTCCCTAGATTAGGTTGTAGGTTGCTGATAGTACATTGCGCATTGTTAGTAGTAAATGCTCGTCGTTTCTATGACGCCAGACAGCAAGAGCCAATCATTCCAGCATTATTGCCGCGCGATGGGAAACGGGATGAAAGAGGCGGAGGGAAAGAGAAGGGGTAGAAAGAGAAGGGGTAGGGAGAGAGAATGGAGAAGCATACGAATCCATTTAATAGAGAATCTATATACATTACGGATTTATCAAACAATATAATTCGGTAAGCCTCGCTCGCTGGTCCTGAATCGTCCCGCGCCACCTCCGCGCAATCTGCCGAAGTCGCACCTCGCATCGTTGCCTGTTGCCAATTTCGGGGCCGATCGACGTGAATGCGAGCCGATTCAGAATTTTCGCTATAGATCGGGTTTATGTGACACCGCTGGCATGTGCATTAAAAGAATACCTATGCAGTCTCGCTCGACCATAAAATTTTGAATACCGTTTAGCGTACAGTCGCTATTCGGTATGCTTTGTGTAAAAGTCGAATCACGCTTATTGATGTGAGAAATATTGAAATATATTTTACGAGATATCACACACGAGACAGATCCGCGCTCGCGCTTTTATCGCAGAGATGTAATTGAACGGAATATAATCATTTTTAATTCTTCCAATTCATTGTCAGCTTTGGCGCAGATATAAATTTTAACACATACTATTTCACACATAAATTAGATTTTTAAAAATTTTTAATGAAGTTGGAATGGGACATGTTAGCTCTTATATAATTCGAAGCTTAGAATTTTTAAGCTTTCTACGAAGCAAAATGTCTTGATTTACGCGAATAATTAATCCTGAAATTTTTATATCATTATATTCACAATCGACAAATATTCTATAATAACACAAAAATAGAAATAATGTAATTATTACTCAAACAATATAAAATGTAGCATTAACAAAGTTGCAAATAAAAACTTTTATTTTAGATTTTATAAGGAGGATTAATAATATCTTGAATAAAGACAATTGTGTGATATATATCAAATTGATATTTATCTCAATTTTACTAAACTCTTACATAATATAATGAAAATGTTAAACATTTTCTTCTAATGTCACTAGTAGGATATCTTTCTAAATAAATTTTGTTATTTTTAAAGTGCAAGAATAGCACGACCTTTTAAAATATTAAGGATCTCTTTTGTGGCAGAAAGATAAATGGCCAATTTTTGTGGCGCGGCTCATCGATTTCGGATTATGTCGTGACTCGTTTTCAATCTAAATTTAAGTATATGACGTAGGAAAAATTTGTAATTTGGAAATTACGCGTTTATTGTTGTAAAAATCTCATTTTGATAGTTTGCCGAAAAGAGTTTTAAACGCTTGAGAACGACTTTAAATATGGGTTATTTTGCTTTCTTGCGTCACAACACATTGATAACCGCAACGGATGTAGTTTTGGGAGATTTTACGTTAGCGGATGTAACGGCACCCAGGATATCCGAAATAACGGATAGATTATTCAACAATGGTCGGATCTTTCATTTGTAACCATTGGAAATGTACGTCTCTTTTTCCTTCCGTTCGTTCGTAAATTTTTAAATATTCGAGCTTTTTCATGATTATACATGACTATATTTCTGAAATTTATTAAATTACTTTGATGGTTTTTAGTTTATTGCTTTGACATCTATTGTCTCTTTTGCGTGAATATATTTTGAAACTTTTTGGCAAGCTGTATAAAAAAGATTTTATCTTTTTTAACACTAGAATAAAAAATAGAGGAGATTATTATTCTAAATTGGCGAATATTTATCTCGTTTGCGTTTTAAGGTAAATAGTTTCAATCAAAACGGAGAAATGAGACTTTTATTCAATGTGTAAAATTGTGAAAATATTCACGCGAGTATGCAGGACTCTGTAATAAATAAATGAATTTTGAAATTCGTCAATACGGTTGATGGGTATCCTCGAATACGTTAGTTTCGTATCTTGCTTCTCTCGTTTTACAGACCGCTCGCATTTTTAGTTTTTCGCGCTCGTTCTCAAACCAGCAATTCGATTGATAACTTGAGCCACTATGCGGATGGAGCGTTTAGATGCTTTACAGTTTATTCGTCGTAAAAGCGCGACGCGGATGCACCGCGCGGCGTTTTCCCTCCCTCTCTCTCTCTCTCTCTCTCTTTCTCTCTCTTTTTCACTCCAGTCATATAAAGTAGCAATTCCGCCATAAAATTGTACATTTATCGTTTTATTGATGCGCAAAAATGTGACGACGATTTCGAATTTTACTAACAATTTGCATATTTTCTTATTCATCAAAGATCTATTATAAACTCGAAAAAATTGCGAATTTTAGACATGAATATTAAATCACTCCTTTAATTATCCTTTTAAAGTATTTCTTTTTGCTCCATTAAAATTGTCTATAAAAAAACTCTCAATAAGTTCGATTAATAATTTCTTGAATTTAATTGAATACATCGGTGTTAAAATTGTTCGTTATTATTTTACATTAATTTTCACGCTCTCGCAAATAACAAATATACGATATACCACATTATTAACTGTTATCATCGGGTTCGAATTCATTTCGAATCTACCAGCACTCTCGGCGATATTATAGGAGGACGGAAACGTTCGGGGGCAACGGTACGAAACGCGGTTTGTTCACGGTACCGATTACATGAAGTTGTAACTCGAGCATGTACGCGACCCAGCAACGGTCCT